TACAGCTACTCGTCAAAGAGACAAGGATCGGCTTCACTTGTCTCTTTGACGAGTAGCTGTATGGTGCTTAGGATGGCGATACTCACTGAGGATGCCAACTACGATGCCGGCGAAACGTTTGGGAATGTTCCACGTCCACGATTTAACTTTGGAAATGATCATGCAGACAACGGACCCCGGACTTGGTGCGTTCCAATAAGTCTTCCTACCAATATGACTATGTTGCGAAAACAAGGTCAAACAACCTCTATACAATGAAAGATATAAAATGCTCGAGAAAATCAGATCACGCCACGATGGACTTCAAGTTGGCTTTTTGCTTAACGAAGTGATATTGAATCTCCCTACAATACGTTTCAAATAATAGGCTATTAAATGATGCTACTGTCATAGGATCTCGTTGCAAGACAGAAATAAACATGTGGATCATTTAGTGGTCTACTGGTCTACTGGCTTTTAGACCACAGACTTCTAGAGTTCACAAGTTACGCTCAAAAGTTTCAACGAGGGCGAAGTTCTGAAAGTCAAGCCACGACTGTGATTTCGACTTATACTCTCCACTCTGCAACCAGAATTTTAATATTAACTAATATAATCTCATTTACTAGGCACTACTATAAGCTATACGTAAATGTATAACACGAGGTAGAAATTACAATTGAAACACTGGTCAAAGAGTACGGATGGCAAAAATAGGTGGAAATTAAGCCTCCAATCGCTTAGTCCACGTAACCCTTATTAGGGCCTATAAAACCTCATTGAGCTTGATCTATGCCTCAAGGCAAACTCAGATTATCAGTTTTCAGCAGGTGTCTGACAATTCTGGACTGGATTGTCGTGTGGGTTTGGTTTTGCCGATGAATTTAGGGCCACTTTTTATTTCCTTTGAAAGGCCATCTCAAAGAATTCACGGATTGCCCGAAACAGAAGTCAGAAAAACATTGCCTTGAATTCATTAACTTTTAAGCAAATCAGATGAAAAGGTTCTGAGATTTTATCAGGCCTGTGACAGACATTGTCAGGGGGTAAAACCATACTTTGCATAAGGTCTGCGGCTACAACCTCTTCCTTTCCTGCAACAGCTTATCTTGCCTACTTTATTAAATTATGTTCAACCTATTTCCTTTAAGGTGATGAAGAACTGGTAGGGGAATTTCCCCACAATGATACGAAATGAGATGACGTTTACATTGAATTAAATATAGCCTTGCTTTCCCAAAATATGTTAACATTCAGGCAGGGCTGCAGTTTGACCTCTCCTACGTCTTATCAACACTGTCGAACCATGACAGTGCAGTGTGTAATCTCAATACATTTACCACTACGCAACATTGCCACGAGTGCCCTTGGGTTACAGGGCGGATGTGAATTTCAAGAAAGGCTAGGCTTTTTCCATATCATATTCTGTGGTGGGATTGTTGCTGAAGCACACTTATATTTCATTTTGAGATTTACTGGGAGTCTCGAAAACCTACTCAAAATGAATTATAAGTAATGTCGTCGATTGTAATAGCAAATAAAAGTTTGCCTAGTCGATAATCCCACCACAGAATATGATATGGAAAAATACCTAACCTTCCTTAAAATTTATATCTGCCCTGTGATCCAGGGTCACTCGTGGCAATGTTGCGCAGTGGTTAACGTGTAGAGATTGTACGCTATCCTGGTATGGTTCAACTTCCGCTGAGGACGCTGATAAGACCTAGGCGAGTTCGAAACTGCAATCCTTTCTGGATATGAATACTTTTTGGAAAGAAAAGCTATGGGAACTTCAACGGAAACGTCAGATCTAATCGTAATATTATTGGAAAATTCAACTACTTTTCCTTCATCACCTTAAACGAAATAGGTTGAACAAAATTCAGAGTTCTGATTTACTGGAAGTCTCGAAAATCTACTCAAAACGAAATACTTCACGTAGGACAAGCACAAAGTATTTTTCCTTTCCAGCTTATGTAGGCAAAAAGTAGCCAAGCAAATCATAGAATATATATGAGATGTATCCAGCCTATTTCGTTTAAGGTGATAAAGAGATCAGTAGTTTCGAAAACCTGCTTATAAACCTGCTTAAAAATAAAGCATGTGATTTTCGAATGCCCTTTATTTCGTTTGTAGAGGAGAGTGGAAGGGATTTGTAAGTTGGCTTCGCCGGAAACGGTAGTTTGATTGCCCTGGAGCCGAGACTATAGATTTGTGCGGTTAGGTCCATGACGCACCGCTCCGCGACCCCGATAAAACCTTGCTGAGCTATCGTTTGTCACATGACAGACTCTAACATTCTTCTATTAAGGAATTCTTTGAAAACCAGTTTTTCTACAAATCATGGAATGCCTCGTTAAGATCGCAAATTGAGGTGTAAGAAGTATGAGAAATTTCAGGCGGCCACCTTTCTTGGTTTAGTGCACCCTGGTTAATCTTCGTAAATAATGGTTTTGGGCTCTGATAATATTAATCATATGACGAATGCAAGGTCAGCATGGATTTATCGAGACCGCACGATGTTGGCCGAGCTCTTATACACACAATCCAACAATGACCAATCAAAAGCAACCCTCCTTTGGTACCCCTTGCAGCCAATTTGCGAATCCATTCTACACCCTTTTTAAAATGAAATGAAAGGTATGCCAGCATCCAGCGCTGATGAAGAGAAGTAGAAGCGGAACTATTGAATCTGCTTCAGCTGCTTGCCTGAGACTGTCCCTCAGTACAGTCTTCAGCCTTTCACGTCGTTTCGGGCCATCGTGTGTATTTTTTCTCATCTGCACAATCGAGTTGATGCTGGCAACCTGAACCTGGGGTACCTGTCTCAACCGACTCCTAACTCCAGGCCTAGCAACCAAAAATTTTCCCATGAACCAAAGTCTCATATTACGATCCTAAAATAGGTGGCTTAAGCTGGCTTGTCAAATGGCCCTTCATCGTGTCAACCAGAAAAGCCTCGATCGACGTGGTCCAACCTCCATTGCACCTACAAGCATTCACCACTTCATTCACCAGGACGACTTATCTTAACGCCCGGCCTTAGATCCATCCTAACTTGGGCCAGTCAACCACAGGCCCGAAAGGATGACTGCTCGTCCATCGATCTACCTGTACATTCAACAGGTGTCTTTGCGCACCCAGTGCCCAGATTGCCTACTCCAGCCGGGACCAGAGTAGGGAAGTCGGGTCATTGGGAAGATAGGACATGTGAGCAGGCGGTGACCTTAGCCGTTAGATCTGGGCATATTGCTGTCCCCTGGTTGACCGATATGGCCGGGCACCCGCAAATTTTGCCATGACATTCCGGCTATTCAAAAGATATGTGGCACACAAACACACGACAGGTTATCCTATATTGGATAATCACTGTGATATCATGATTTTACGATTTGCCCTCTGCCCTTACGATGCTCAAATTAGACTTTAAGGTTGCTCCATTTCCCGCTATCTATCCAGCCTTTCTATCCTTTCCCTCCTGCGGGCACATTAACACACGCATATATAGAAAAAACACCACCTCTCCTGTTAAGGTTTTGTAAACAAACCAGCGGGATTCCGCCTGATCTCTACTCCTACCCTAGATGGTCATAGTTTAGCCTCACTGCCATGCAGACCTTTTCCTCCTCTCGCACCTTCCTTGTCCCAGTAACTAATGCGATAATTACTTCCAACTAAATCTGCATGGAAAACCTCTGCTCTAAAGCACACGCTAGACCAAGAAGATTTCATCCTTGGGCTCCAGCCAAACGTCTTACATCTTCTTTTCTCCTCTGTTCCTCAGACAAAATAAATTTATGCTTTTACTTATCTTATACCTCGGCCGCATACTCAGGCGCAAGATGCTGGCTTTCCCCTCGAGGATCGGTATAACAACAGAACTCATATTCGTCCTATTAATCAATGCAGAATGAAGAACTAGATGTTCTTATATACATTTTCTCTTTGGTTCTACTTAGTCGGGGCGAATCCTTTGAGCCACATTTTTTGGGTGGATCTATTTACCTATGTTTAACTTTTGAATTCCTCCTGATTTTCAACAAATTCACGCAACTGTCTTAACCTTCCTCTTCCTACCTCGCGCACGCACATATACGCAAATACACATTAAAATACACTAATATGTATTTAAAGTCATGAATCGAGGCATGCACATATACCAACACATGCAGAAAAATATAAAAGTAAATTTATTGCGCTATAAGTAGGCTTTCAAAGCTATCACATATATATGTGAAATTGTTTCTTGTACATATTCATAAACACACATATACTTATCTACATAAATGTAAATCTGCACTTTACAAACTATCCTATACGTATTTTTCGTTGATGAGTTGTTTTTCGAGATTACCATATATTCGATATATTCACTATTTCTTTAAGGTGAAGAAGGACTGCAAGTTGAATTTTCTCACAACGATGTGATTGGTTGGACTTTCATTTCGTATGAAAGTGTATGAAGAAGAGATTTGGTCGATCTCACCAGAATAGGATGATTAAAGCCCCTTATACTGCAGCCGTTTTGCTTTTATACGAAGTTGAGATTGACGCAGTCCACGAGACCCCTTCCATATTTTTGGGTGAAAGTTAACACTTAGTGTAAACTTGGACAAAGGCTCAGTCCGTTTTACCTGAAAAAAGGAAGGAGGTCTGTGGACTGCGTCAATCTCAACGTCGTATAAAAACCAAACGGCTACAGTACAATGGGATTCAACCGTCCTCTCCTAAGATCGACCTTCGAATCTCTTCTTCATACACTTTCATACTAAATGAAAGTCAGTTCAATATTGTTATTTGAGGAGATTCATCGAAACACTTTCGTCTCCACTGAATTTCACATAGCCCTGCTTCCCAAATAGGTATTCACAACCAGAGTTGACTGCATTTGTGACCTCGCTAGGGTCTCATAAGGAACCGCAACAGGATTTGAACACTAGTAATACATCCTATAATCTCGGCACGTTAAACATTATGCTCTTCTGTCACAAGTACCTCGAATAACCTACATATAAAAGAAAAATAAGTAATATAGTCTATTGCTGTAGCAAATATAACATTTTTCCATCTACAAGCCCACCACAGAATGTGATATGGGAAAATACCTAACCTTCCTTGAAATCTACATATGTCATATGATGGCCCAAGTCAACTCGTGGAAATGTGGCGTAGTGGTTAACGTGTCGAGATTATACGCAACACTGTCATGGTTTGAGTCCTACTGTGGGTGCTGATAAGACCTAGGCGAGGCCAAAACTGCAGTCAACTCTAGATGAAAATACCTTTTGGGAAAGCAAGGCTATTTGAAATTCATTGAAAACGTCCTGTCTACTCATATATTTGTATCTTTTGTAATATCTTTATCCAACACCTTAAACTAAATACGGTAAATACATCTCATATACTCATTCACGTAAACTACTCAAGTTTGAACTACTAAGAATTTTTATTAGGTTAGTACTACAAGTATAAGTCTGTCCGGGCAAAGCTAAAACAACCTATCTATCGCATATTTCCTCTAGCCCCTCCAGGGCTGTGCATAGGCTCTATGTTAATACCAGGATTCGAAAAACCCAAAGTGTGAAGCCTCGCCATGAAGCATATTCAAGTAAGTCGGACGTAAAATCCAGTGTCTTAGAATAGGCCAATCTAGTATAATCCACTCCGTTTAGTCCTAAAATGGAGAAAAGCAAAGGATGCTAACTATTTTTAAGCTTAGGGGAGGAGGACATACACTATAAAATGTCATTATCTTGGGATAGACTCCATAGAGTTTAGTAGCCCTATTCATCCATAGGGTAGGAGACAGAACTCTTTTCGGTATGACCTGAAGCTTATAAACGTCGCGATAGGTCAGGAAACGGAAGCTCACAGTGGCCACTTACTCGGGCTTGTCCATGTTGTATTGGGCAGTAGTCATGGTTAGGTAGCTTGGTGACTACCGTCTCTGAAACACAACTCCGCAGATTAACTTCACTGCCAGCAAGCGTCTTTTATGAAGACAGTCTTGAGAACCCCAAAGTTATCAGGTCCACAAGAGACGTAAGAACCATGATAAAACCAGTTAGTTCTGTCATGTAGCAAAATCACCATGAAGGTCAGAGACCTCAGTGTTATTCAGAGCATGGCGATCAGGAGCCAAATTTAAGGTGGTCGCCCGGTGGCATCAGGTGCCAGCTCGTTTTACTGCCTTTATCCAGGCGAAATCTGGCTAATCTGATTAGATATATGAGCAATGTTCACCCTATTTCGTCAGAAGTGATGTAGGACTGGCAGATGAATTTTCCCAACGCGACTTTGTTGGGGGCACTTTTATTTCGTTTGAAAGTGCATAAATAAGAGATTCGTAGGTCGATCTCACCAGATGAGAACGGTTGAATCGCGTTGTACCGCAGCCGTTTGGCTTTTATACGACATTAGGCTTTTACAGGAATGAGAGCCAGCTCTGATGATGTCCATCATATGATGGCTAAAGGCTCAGCCCATTTTAACCCGAAACGATGAAGGAGGCCTCGTAGATTGCGTCAACCTGAACCTCGTATAAAAGCCAAACGGCTGCAGTACAACGGGATTCATCTGTCCTCTTATGGTGAGATCGACCAACGAATCTCTTCTTCATGCACTTTCATACAAAATAAAAGTCCCATTAACAATGTTATCTCAGGAGATTCATCGAAACCCAGTTTCTCTTCGGATTTTCAATGTACGTACGGTTAGACTTCTTGTCATTTGTCTTCTCGCTACAATATATCCAAGAAAACTATATCCTGGCGAGTTAATAGAATTAGATTTTAAAAAATTTGTATTTCTCATAATGTTGTTCCTAGGCGTTGTTAAATTGGTAGACATTTTAATCTAGCGACATCCACATATAGGAACTTGATCAGGTATCGTGTGATTTCGTTTAATCTAGGCTCAAGGAAAACATTAACAAACTACACTAACTAATTAGAACCAAAAAAGGCGTAGGCAATCCCTTTCTGAAATATTAAAGGATGTGGATTTCATTTAATTACAAGTCATGGCTGATGGATTAGGAGAGGCGACTAACAGCATGACGCGTCGGATACATGATAAGAAGCTCTGGAATTTAGGAATCAGAATTAGGTTGAGAAACTTTGCACCTAAGCTAAGTCGTACTAACCATGGTTGTAGCAAAGTGGGGAAGGATAAGAAAATCAATTTATCTTTTAAAACTCTGGAGGATAGTGGAGTACTTTTGTTGGAAAGAGTATTGAATTTTGCTCTTCAAAATGAGGTAAACCATTCTCAGAAAATACTTGTTGAATTAATTAGCTTATCTGATAGATTGCCTGAAGAGGTAAGGAATAATATTGAACTGAAGTTGATCCCTCATTTTGACCATATAATACCGCAAAAGAAAGATTGTCATCTTAGTAGGGTTCCTAGATATCTGTGTAATAGTAATATAATCGTAATGAAAGCCGACAAAGGTGGAGCAGTGATATCCATGGATAAGTCAAGTTATGTAGAAAAAATGCTAGTTCATTTAAATGACAATGACACGTATAGGCCTTTGCTAAGAGATGCAACAGAAAGACTTAAGAGCAGGCTAATGGATGCCCCTAAGGTATGCATAAGTAATAGCTAAATAGAAAAGTGGAAAATGAATTCACTACTCCAGAGAGATGCAAGGGCGCCCACGGCTTATGGTTTCCCTATGGTTCACAAGGAGGGCGTCCCTCCACGATTAATTGTTAATAATAAAGGAAGCGTGATGCATAAAATCTCACAACTAAGGAACTCTGCCAATTTTTGGCTATATTTAGTTAAAAATTCGTATGATTTTGTGAAATTGCTGGATCAGCAGACAATTTCAGAAGTGGATAGGTTAGTAAGTTTTGATGTTGTGTCTATGTAGATACGAAGAGAAACTGGGTTTCGATGAATCTCCTAAGATAACATTGTTAGGGGGACCTTTATTTCGTATGAAAGTGCACGAAGAATAGATTCGTTGGTCAATCTCACCAGATGAGGACGGATGAAACTTGTTGTACTGCAGCCGGTTGGATTTTATACGATATTCATGTTGACACAGTCCACGGGACTTCCTCCCTCGTTTCGGGTGATAACGTCCCCCTAACAATGTGTCTATGAACACAAAAATTCCTGTTCAAGGAGCTATTCAATCTCTGATACATACTTTGGAGGAGCATCCAGAGATAACAAGTAATAAGGCTAAGTGCAGCTTCCATTATCCTATCCATGAATACCACATATTTTATCTTTGATGGTAAGTTATACGAGCAAACGAAAGGATTAGCGATGGGATATTGCCTAG